GGCTTTTTGCAGCGTTGTTTAGGGCTAAGAGCATAGTTTGGAGGTCTTCTATTTTGTCTGTGAGGAGTACGATGTCATCTGCAAAACGTAAATTATTAGGGTATTCACCGTTGATGTTAATGCCCACATTATTCCATTCTAGCGTTTTGAATATATCCTCTAGAGCCGCAGTAAATATTTTCGGGGAGATTGTATTGCCTTGTCTCACCCCTCGGTTTACGGGTATGGAATTAGTTCCGTCGTAGACCTGAACTGTCATGGTGGCGTTGTCATAGAGGGCTTTGATAAGTTGTATGTACTTGAAGTCTATACGGCATCTCCTCAGAGTATTCAGAAAGGCCCATTTTTCGACAGTATCGAATATGTTGATTGTATTCTTGGGATTTCTCAATCATTTGTCACAATGTATGCAAGTGGTCCCCCGTGTTGTAACCTCCGTGAAAACCTGCTTGCTCCACAAGCTGGAAAGCATCTATATAGTTTCTTAGCGATTCGGTTGTTCAATATTTTTATTAGTAATTTGTAGAGATGAGACAGCAGTGAAATAGGTCTGTAGTTCCTTATATCCTCTTTATCGCCCTTTTTGTACAATATATTAACATTTGCGTTTTCCAGGAGTCTGATATTTCCCCGTGGTGAAGGCAGCAATTGAAGAGTCCCTCCAGGTACACTAAAAGTTTTCGGCCGCCCATATTGATGTATTCGATTACTATGTCGTCTGGTCCAGCTGCTTTATTATTTTTCATTTTCTTCATGGCGGATTTGATCTCATATTTACTTATAGGGGGTAGTTCCTCAGTGTTATGTCTAGTCAGTTTAGCTCTCTCGTCTGTTACTTCGTGTTGCCTTTCTGGAACTTTTTCGGAATACAAGTCTTCATAGAATTTCCTTACAAAATCTTCGTTCGGGTTTTAATTTTATTTCCATTTCCAACTTTCAGTATTACTATTTCGGATTTTCCTTCCGATAGTTTAGATTTTTTCCTAAATACTATAGGACCTTTGTTTTCTTCTATCGCATCTCGTATTAGCCTTTCGTTGTACCTGGCCACATCCTCTCTCACTTCTTCTGATCTGTTTGTTTTTTATTTTCAGTCATAGACTATTTTCATTTCTATCCCTAATCATTTTTTTAGTGTTGTCTGAGATTTTACTGTTCTTGTTTTGTGTTTTCTTTCCTGGAATAGTTTTATTTACACTTTCTTTTATACAGTCTGTTAAAAACGCATTGACATCGTTTATATTAGTGAAGCTTTCCATTTTTCTGATGAGCGTAGCTTCTAGGTTGTTTTCGAATTGGTCTCCGTTTTGTCGAATATAATAGATATCCTTTCCTGGTCTTTTAGCGGATACTAGCTTCCTCCTCTCGAATTTTCTATTAATTTTGACTTTTGCCTCAACCATCCTGTGATCGCTTACTTGAATGTTGTTCAGAACAGTAACGTCTTTAATCAGGTGTTTTTTGTTTGTTATAACGAAATCAATCTCGTTTTTTGTTTAGCCATCCGGACTTATCTATGTCCACTTGCGTTGAGGCTTTTTCTGGAAAAAAATTTTCATCATTTTGTATTGTTTTCCTTCCAGGAAATTTATGAGCTGTCTTCTGTCGTTTCTGACTCCTGTGCCATGTAGACCCATACAGAATTCCTCTTCTTGACAATATCCAATCTTCACGTTGAATTCACAGACAATAATGTGAAATTCGAAAAAATAGTTCATGGCTCAGAGACCTGTGTTCAAATTATATCTGTGAAAAAAACACCAAGTCGTGGTCTCAATTTTTAATATCAAGGTTAAATGTTTCGCCCAATAATGGGCATCATCATACATATAAAAAAAAAACTCTTACACTAAAAACAAACATGTACAGAAACACATACCTCAAACCATAGAATAATATACGTAGACTAGAAGGCGAACTGCATGTGAAAAATCGGGCCCCTTCGATGGATCCAGGCTTTCTGTCGCGCGATTCCATTTGACCCCTGAGTACGAAAAACTAGACCGTGTTGCCAATTGCAGCACGTTGTCGTTGTGTTTCCATCTTTGTAATTTCATTTTTATTTTTATTTCTACTTAGATGAAAAAAATGTACAAGCTAATTACAATATTTTTCACTAGGTCCAATAATTTTTATATCGAAAAATGTCATAACTTTGTCAAAATTCAGTTTTCATACTTTTTTACACATACCTCGCGATATCTCCAGAACTAATTGAGATAATTTCATTATTTTTTTTTTATTCTGAAGAGATTATGTTAACGAAAATCACTAAGATAACTTTGTTTTTCTGAAAAACTCGCTTTATTCGTTAAACTAGGTAATACTTTAACTACACTTTTTATGCAATACTTTTTTCAGTAAGCGAGAAACTTTTTTGTTTTAAGGATTTCTGTCATACTATCAGCGAATGAAACAAAGCTAAAATATCAAGGAAGTTTTTGATTAAAACCTCGATACTCCGCGACTCATAGTTTACAAGATATCGTCACTTAAAGTTGAGAGTTTTACCGGCTGTCCACTACTCCGGGTAGCTGCGCAGCGCGCGTCTTTCGACTAGTTTCGATTGCTTGTTTTTTGAGCTGGGTGCATTTTCATGATATTTTTGAGCAAATTAAAATTAATAAAATCTGTAACTTCGGTTTTAAATAATAATGGCATAAATATTTGCTTTTCACTGATTATTCTCATTAATTTGGTTTTGGAAATTGGACACGTGTTGTAATTAACCACAAAAAAACAAGGGTTCGTTGTTGTAAAATTTCCCAATAATTAGCAGAAAAATGCATAGGGTATTTTTTATAAACCCTATGTATGAAAAAAAAATCTTCCAAATCATCATGCAAAATCACGTCGGGTTTGGGAGGGCAAATACGCAAACTTACGACAGTTTGGATATTCGCAATCACTCCAACATTTTAATCCTTGCAAATTTCTTTTTCCAAATTTCCTACTACAAATACCTAGATATCATGTATTGATTAAAAAATATGTAGTTCTACCATGTCCTAACTGTATAAATAGACTTTGGGGAGTTGCTGGTATTGTGCAGTAGACATAAATAAGCAATAGGTATTAGGACATCCGACAGATTTTACCAGAATTGTGTTAACTGATTTTAGTTCTGTTAGCACATAAGGTGGTATGAATAAAAATGAGCATTTAGTTTCTACTTCAAATTTTGGAGTAAATACTCCACGTGGGATGAATAAAAACTTTGATAAAAACTACGAGCAGATATTTCGCTTGAGTAGGTACTCCTATGTATAATTTGGTATGAGTAGATTCTCACTTTTGGTATGAATAAAAAATTGTTTATGCTCTTTGGCAGGAGAATCTACTCCATAGTTTTAGAGTCTACTATGCAGTTGACTTAACTTTCTGCTTCAAGTTATTTCAGTACCGATTTTCCCTCGGTAGAAGGCAGAGCTATGGCAGAGTTCTTCAATTTTAACCTGCGTTTAAAAAAATTTCACAAAGCTAGAAAAAATACGTGTGATCGGGACTTTAAAACGTTGTACCGGTTTAGTAAAGAAAATGTGGAGTGGTTATCAAATCAATTTTATGCAACAAAGACAAGTTTGAAATATTTTTAAGATACGTGGGTGACGCGGGCTTTCAGGCAGGAGTAGGCGAGGATGTTGGTGTTCACCAAACTTCGGTGTTTTAAGTTGTATCGGAAGTAGCTGATAAGATAATTCAGCAAACTGAACGGTGGATCAAATTTCCCCGCAGTCCTGCGAATATAATATGATCCATTCACAATCCGATGTCCACAGGTACAGGTAAAATTTATCACCTTTCAATGCTATTTGATAGGGAAAGGTGATAAATTTACCTGTATCTGTGGACATCGGATTGTGAGGAAGAAAAAGCGGCAAAAGAGCGGTGGCAAGCAAAATAAAATGTTGAGTATCTACTCTATGTACTAGGTGTATGTACTTATCAAACCGAAATCTTTTTTATTCTTACGGAATGGAGTATAAGCTCAGACTTCATACTCATGCTCACGAGTATATACTCCGAGTTTAAACTCAGTTTTTATTCATATCACCCCAAGGTAATAATCTGGTATTAGCTTCTTGTTGAGTACTCTTTGATTTTTCCAAATGAAACAAAGTTCAGAATTCTGGAATCCACCTGTTATGACTGTTGATTCATTTATTAGTTTTTTTTTATGGTCGGCATATATGGCACACACACAAAAGGAAAGTCCTACATTACTTAACGAGCAGGGTGTTTGTGGAGGTGTCGTTGGACATTGGTTTTGAAACGCTGGAGGTTGTAGTTTTCGGGGAAGATGTGACTTTGAAGTGCATTCTAGAGCGAGGCGGCCCTCCAGAAAAATGAGTCTCGAAACAGCGATGTTCTAGGCATTCATAACTGAACTGTATGTTGTAGAGCTGTTTGTGCCTGACGAGTGTTTCTGTTTGGTGCAACTTTGGGCGAAATCAGAAGTGCTAGCTCGTTCGAACACCTTCCGTAGTAGTATCGATAATAAGTGGTAGGTCCGCCACTTTTCACCGATGTTCAAGGCTTTGGAGGTCTTTGGTCAACTCCGAGTCATCGATAAGACGGACTGCTCCCTTTTGTATCGAGTCCAACGCCTTGAGCAAGTGTTTGCGGATCCCGATCTCCATATACGTATAGGAGCAGTATTCCAAGGATGGCCTTATCTGGGCGTTATAGAGCAGCAAAAGCTGAAATGAGATATCAACTTCCTTGATCTATAAAGTGTTCCTAGCTTTTGTGCTGCTGTCTACGCGATTTTGGTGATGTGGGTACGTCAATTAGACATGTTATTTTCCACGTTGATGCCCAATACGTTTATGGATGAGAACGATATCTTGAAAACTATGCATCGCGGAGTATCGCGGTTTTTTTCAAAAACTTCCTTGATGTCTTATGCTATTTGCACATACACCGATTTTGGACGGCCGGTGAAATATCGGCCGATATTGTATCGTTGGGGGCGCTGTACACACACGCCGGATTTTTACCGGCCGTAACGAGCAGTTTTGCCTGGTTGTCGTAGTCCAGTTGAAATGGATTCCTCAAAATCAGCTATAAGTTCGCAGCAAACTTGGTCCTGGTTCCATGCATTTCTTTTAGCATTTCTGTCCTCAAATGTGTCCAAACTTTTATCCCATAGAACTGGTCTTGCTTCCACTAGCGAAATAAGTATATCATTGTCTATAACTATCCCGTCATCCATTGCAAGCAATGCAAATGTAGATATCTACTTGGTATCTACCGAATTACCTATCATATATTATTGTAGTCCTATGCTGAAGTCTGCGCAGTGAATGAAAGAACGACGCTCTCGGCCGGTCAACAATGAAGAGTGTGCAAGCTCTGACTTGACTACATACGCCACTATATTCTCGGCACCGGCCCGGTGCCGGCGGTCGCAGTGGCCATACCGGCTGCTCACCGGTTTTTTTCTGGTGCTGGTCTGTGGTCGGCTAGTGTGCAAGCTCCATGCCATCCCAATGGTTCACAGTTGAAATGTGGACGGCCGATATTTTACCGACCGTCCAAAACCGGTGTGTGTGCAAATAGCCTTAGCTTTGTTTCATTCACTGATAGTATGGCAGAAATCCTTAAGGGGATTGAATGCGCCTCAATGCCAAAATATTTTTTCCTGCGCGAAGTACCTAACACAGTCTATCATTCTATTCTCCCTCCCCTATTAATATTCCTTAGTGGGAATGAGATGAATGAAACAAGGAATGCATTGCGTTCTTAATTTCAACGTAACTTTTTAACAGTTGAAGTTATATAAAATTTCTTTTTTGCATTCGATTTATAATATGAGGACGAATGGCGCTATCTTTTCAGAAATCCGGTAATAGAAACAAGTTCTCGAAAAATTACAAAAATGTAATTTAAACTGGAAAAAAACGAGAAAGTTAATCAATTTATGGTGTTTTTTTTTAATGCCAACCGGCCCAACAGTAGCCCAATGCAATGATCGCGACAAACCTCGCATCTTTATTAGTAAAAACTTGTTGGGTGGTTGTATAGTTCGACGTGCGTTACAATATATTTTAAACGGCGCATTCAATCCCCTTAAAACAAAAAAATTTCTCGCTTACTGAAAAAAGTACTGTATAAAAAGTGTAAGTTGAAGTTTTACCTTGTTTTACGAAGAAAAGGAGTTTTTCAGAAAAACAAAATTATCTTTACTGATTTTCGTTAACATAATCTCTTCAGAATTAAAAAAAATTATAATACAGGGTAATTAGCCTTTTTAAACTAAAAACAAAATATAAAGCTAAAAATTTGTTTGAAGGTACATTATAATAAGTAAATAAAATTTAATATAGACTTGCACCTTGTGCTTGATGGTGGAAAGCCGCCAGTGGACTCTTTCTTGGAAATAATAATTAAAAAAATTAGTTTTGCTACTTTTTTTTAATGTTAAAGTCAATCACAAAACTAATCAAATAAATGTCCAAAAATGATAGGAAGGAACCATGCTTCACGTTTTTCGAGCCGCCACCATTTTGCTGCTCTGAAGCTATCCAATCTTTAACCTAGAACGAAAAAAAACTCCGTTGTAATGCTGCGAAGGAGCATTCCTATAGCTCAGACTGTTCTTCTTCGTCACTTAGCATGGGAGGTCTGTAGCTGCATTATTCACCATTATATTTTCTACACATGGCGGTACAGTCCCCGTCGGCGACAGTCACATCTTTGGGCACAAATTACAAAATACCAACTTCAATAAATTTTCGGGGCTCAAAGGGTCAAGTGTAGGATGCAGGAATTGGTACCAGTTGTCCCTCTCTCTTCTTCCATCCTCAATCAATAGCAGAAAGTTCTACCCCTCGCCAAGACTGAACTTGATGAAAAACTCTGTAGCAGTGTTGTTTTGTTATTCCAGATGTTGGTGGTAATACCGAAAGATTAAACTTTCCAAAAACGGGTTATTTAGCTATAACCCTTAACAGTTAAATCTGGTTTTGCTTAAGTTATCTGAAGAAACACGACCGTTATATAATAGTTTTAAGAAATACTCTACGGCTTGAGCAATATCTTTTTTGGTTGCATTGGTATCATTGAATTTAGAAACCTTTTGTCTTAATATCTACAGATCTCTTAGCCCTATTTGTTCTTCTAATATGTTCTGCATTCTTCGTACCATATTCCCTTTCATTGTAACCATCAAACACAATAGTACTTTCAAGGCCATAGTGTCTTTTAATATAGACGATGTAACTATCACATATGTACCTATTTGGGAAAACGAACCAGGTTTTGGTCAAACTACTCTAAGCAGAAGATAACCACCATCTATTACAAAACAAGGTTCTGAAGGCAAACTGTCCGGGATAGCAATATAACCTTTATTCAACGCTAGGGTAGTTATCATATTCACAGGCAACTTTGATTATAATCGCGGCAGCTTTAACGATTCGCATTCGTTCGTCTGTACTATTTTTTAATTTGTCCCCATACCACTCATCATTTAGGCTACGAGAAGCTGTACCCCGGGAACATACTGTCCAATTTCCACTTTTTGATGGAATGGAATCACCATAATGAGCCTTAAGTTTCATTTTAACATATTCTTCAGAATAAACTTCTCCGTCAAGGGATTTTTCATTCATTACTGACATCAATTCTTTTATATCGTACTAACATTCATCATTATTTTCTAGAAAATCACACAACTGATAAAATTTTCCTATCACATAAAGAAAGAGGCACGATTAACATTGAAAATAGGCCCCCCGTAAATTTCAACCAAATTACAATATTTTAAAGGTAAAGAGGATCGTACGTCTGTGATAGCAGATATAGCCTATCAAATTACGTAGGTCCTTCTATGCTATGCATAGGAATTATCCGAAGAAATATAGGTACCTACGTAGATTTTCTTAAATATCTCGATTTTGACGTGTTTGGGGTTTGATACGTACACAAGGACCCCAAAAACGTCCTGCATCCCCACCACCCGGCACACCAACTTTTAGCTTTATACAGTGACCGCCAAAAAGTTTGCAACAAATGGGAAAATATTTTATTATTAAGATATCAAAGAGAATGTTACGTGGGATCGATTCAGCATACCCATCAACAAAAAAAAGTACTGTGACAGATGTCATGTGACCACAGTTATGGCGGGAAATTTAAAAAGTTCTCCTCAAATATGTGAAAAGTGGGGTTAGATGACCAGAAATCGAAAAATTGTAGAGAGAAAAGTGGTTCAGGATTCGATTTTACGGCTATGTGTGAATTTTTAAAAAGGTACAAGGATTTTTAATAAATATCAATTTTTTGGCCTGTTTCCTGGTAATTTAAAAAATATCAAAAACTTTTTGCTTGGTTCACATAATTCAAAAAGAAACTAACCAAAAAAAAATCCTGTGCAATCATTCTGCTTAATTGTCCCGCGGAAAACTGTAAAAATCCAAAAATTCATTTTCAGACCACTCTGATCTTGTTGCAATGACTTACAGAAAGCAGAAATTTGGAATAACAAATTTGGAATTATCATAAAATCTTTCTAAATGATCCAATACCTCTTTTTTAAATTCAATTAAACCAATATTTTTCCGAAAAGTTTTTAATATTCTCCAAATTACCAGAAAACAGACCAAAAAATTGATATTTATTAAAAATCCTTGTACCTTTTCAAAAATTGACACATAGACGTGAAATCGAATTCTGAACCACTTTTCTCTCTACTATTTTTCGATTTCTGGTCATCTAACCCCACTTTTTACATATTTGAGGCGAACTTTTTAAATTTCCCGCCATAACTATGGTCACATGACATCTATCACAGTGCTTTTTTTTGTTGATAGGCATGCTGAATTGATCCCACGTAACATTATTTTTGATATTTTAATAATAAAATATTTTCCCATTTGTTGCAAACTTTTTGGCGGTCACTGTACATATTTTGTTTTAAGAAATTTTGGCTCATAATTGGCTAATTACCCTGGACTATTAATGAAATTATCTCAATTAGTTCCGGAGATATCGCGACGTATGTGTGAAAAAGTATGAAAACTGAATTTTGAAAAATCTATGACATTTTTCGATATAAAAATTGTTGGAACTAATAAAAAAATGTTGTAATTGGCCATTTCAGATAACCATGGACCTATTCCATCGTTTTGTAAAGGTTTCATGTAGTTATACCTTGAAAAAAAAAATTTCAACATTTTTGCCGCGTTTTCAGTCTATGAATTAAATAGTAGAATCAATTTTTTTAAACTTAAATATGTATCAAAATTTTTCCGTAAATTTTGTATAAAATAAATTCCTTCATCTAAATAAAAAACCTAAACCCGATTATTCCGATTTGTGTGGACTTTATTTTTTGATTAAAATAAAATGAATATAATTAATGCACGGAAGTTAAAGAAATACCTATTTTTCTAATATTGTTTATTATTTCGAAGGACCTGTTTATCTATTTGAATTTTAATAAGTAAACACATAATTATCAGTTATCGTGCGTTGTGCGCGGTATCGGCTGTAATAATATGGCAACGTTGCTCTCAATACCTCCACGGAAAGCGAAATAAATTCGAAGTAAATTCGGAGAGCAGCGCCGCCTATAGGTAAAAAACACTCCGTAAACTTTACGCTTCTATCCGTCGTATATTATTCTATGCTCAAACTGAACTCTCGGAGTGAGTGTTTAAAACAGACGCATACATACAATACAAGAATTTTTTTTTTTAAATAAGATACAAACACTATAAAAATAAGAAAAACAAAAGTGGAACATGTCCCGAAGCTGACAAGGGCAAGACAGAAATTACACATAACCTAAACTAGATCCAAGTAAAGGAGGATATGCGCAAGTTGTTCGGAGCAGGCGGGCAAGGTGCGACCATCTCAAGAATCCCGAGTGAGTACGTTAAAAGCTACGCGATAATGAAAAATGAAGAAGAACAAAAAAACGGAAACAGAAGAGAAGAACGATGTGACAACTGTCCAGAGAGAGAAAAATAAAGCAAACGTTTTTGGAAAACAAATAATTCCAACCCCAATGCCCTAATGTGAAAAAAGTATTATTTAAATTATGTTAATAAAAATTAAATTGGGTTCAAGATTGAATACGTCGTTCACACAGGTCATGACAGGGCTCTTCTTGGCTCTAGTTATTTCCATTTTCTCCAATAAGTCCAATTTCCTTCCCTTAGCACATTGATGTGAAACTTTAACGTTTTCAGGAATGGAAGTGTTATGTCCTGAGGTCAACAAGTGGTTTGCGAAGGCGGAATTGGTATTAGTTATATCAGAATCTTTATATTTTTGCACATAGCTAAGGTGTTCTTTAATTCTAGTTGATACCTTTCTGCCAGACTAGCCAACATAAACAGCAGGACAATCTCCGCAATTTATGGAGTAAACTCCCGACTTATCAAGCAAATTAGTTTCGTCTTTGTTATGTATGAGGTGTCGTTTTAAACTGTTTATTGTTTTAAAGGCTATATCAATATTGTAAGACTTGAAAAATTTCGCCAACTGTAAGGAAATATTACCGAGAAAAGTGATTGACCTGAAACTCCTTTCCACCTTATTTGCTTCATTATGTATGATGTTGTAGGTATGAGAGTTTGTATTAAGAAGACTGCAAATTTGTGGCTATATGGAGAATTGGAGGAAAATTGGATGATGTTATCAGTGGAAGTTGGTTTTCTATAAATTTCAAACTCAATATTCGGACTATTATTTATCAGGACTAATCAGGAGCAAATCCAGAAAAGGTAATTTGCCTTCAATTTCCATTTCATAAGTAAATTATATGTTGGTATGAAGAGAATTGACAAACTGAAGGAAAAGAAGGAATTGCTCGTTGGATCCAGTCCACACTAAACAGATATCGTCCACATATCTCTTGTACGCGAGTAAATTTGCTGCAAAAGGGATGTTCATTATTTTTTGTTCCAAATTGTACATGAAAACTTCACTTGAAAACCGTGATAAGCAAGAACCCATGGCTAGTCCGGTTATCTGTCTCATGGAAGAGTTATTAAACCTAATGAAATTCTGAGCTAAAGTGGTCTCCAATAATAAAAGCAAATCGTGAATGACAATTGAAGGTATGCGATTGTTTTTGAATACCAAATC